TTTTACACAACGGCCGGCAGGTAGTTAAGCTGGCCAGACACTTCTCGAAATCCTGCTGACTTTCCCGAAATCCGAGCAGAGTGTGGCCCTGCCGGCATCCCTCCATTTGACAAAAGTAAATATTTGGCCGAACACGGACTGCAGCCAATCCCATTTAATGTATTTTGACAGCTGCAGGTGCCGGCTATAAGAATACAATTGCATGGCAGAGAAAAGTGCCCCAGTCCACACTGTTTAACGTGGATGGGGGAAGCAAGCATTTTTTTCTCATTCAGACCATGGGGCTGAATAAGAAGAAACGCATTGGGAATGGTCATCTCTATACCCGATACTCCCTTACTATATTTATGTGACTAATACTGAAGCTTGAAGGAGCGCATGATGTGCTAGTAGTCCACACTCTCCTCCACGACTTTCCATCCGTGGCCGATTAATGCAGAACTCAAATAGCTTAAGGTATACCACCATTTGGAGTGCACCATATGCCTATATTAAACACATCAATTACTTCTGCTCATCTTATAACAAAAAAATATGCCATCAATAAAACCAACATTCAAAGTAAAATTGAAAAATGTACTTCATGTTTTTTTAAGGTTTCTCTTTATTTCAAAAATAATAAATATGTTATTTAGAGAATTAACCTATTACAGAGCTAATAACTGCAATAGATAACACTATTTCAAACTACTTTGTTTGAAAGATTATGCACTTCAACAATCTGTATACATTTAAAAAATACATGTTTCCTCAACCAAAAGAAAAGACAAATGCGGACTAAATGATCATTCTCATCAGTGATGAAAACTCACTGGTTCAAATGCTTGCTGTCAGGGAGACGAGTCTGTCTAGGAAAGAAATTGACCCAAAAGGGGTGTGCAAAAGATCTAAGAGTAATAAAACCTTATAAAGGTTTGCAGAATATAAGCAAATTAGTGACATGGCAGTAGAAGTTCATCCAGCATAAAGATGTGAGAGGCATGTACTGTGACTGATGCATTACGCAGCTCAGTAGCCAAAAAACACAGGCAAGAAAAGGACAATGACTGTTGGGTTTCTGGCCTATTTTGGGCATTTCACAATCATAGCGGATAAGAAAAAGAAAAACACAACTTACATTGCATATATACGCCAAGTTTTACAGTACTTTGGATAATCATCATGAATTACCAGTCTATACAGCGGCATGAACAGACTTCATACAAGTCAAATATGGAATCATTTTCAGCACTCTCATGTCATATTACTGTTCTGGTGGCATACAAGAACTGGACATAAAAGTGGATGCAAGGCACCAAGATACGATTCTAAAAAACTATGGAACCTAAACAGCATCAGACACTTGCTTTCATGTTGTGCTATAGAATGACAGAAGGGAAGTCCGTTAGCAAAGTTCATCTAAGATTATGTTATTGCAGACAGCTTTGTTCTGAGGTCAGCTAATTATGTCCATTAAAGGTAAACTCCATGTAAAAGTGGCTGGATGTGGGGGCTTCTTAGAACTGTTGGAATCTATCGTGACTAGTTATCTTCATGAGGTCACAGCAACTTACCATGGTCAATTTTACACGAGATGTAGGAAGCCAAGGTGTGGAAACTTGAAGATGTCCCTGAAAAACGGTTTTCTGAAATTGTATGTTAGAAAGGGGGCTCTAAGGAATCCATCTACGTATAAGTGCAGGAATCTGGAAGTGCCTGTTATTAAGACATGTTACTGGTTTAAACATTTTATTCTCATAATAGTTTGCTTTGAAGGAGACCACCTAGTGAGGAACAGCCTCATCTACTGAGATTTGCTGCAAACGTTATAACTCCCAAGCTGCAATTACCTCTCTTACATTGTATTATTTAGTAACAGGCTGCGTTCAACTGTTCTATTCTTACACCTGTCTAGAGCTTTAAGACATCCAACTATGCTAGGTAAGCTGAAGAGTGCCGAGTAATGATGGGTGCACAAGAATGGGACATATCTACTACAGAAACACCAGAACCTGGATAAATGATGTATTGAAAAAGTATTGCCCAGTTTGTTCCCACCAAAACATTTTCCTGTTTACACAAATCTTTTCATCTTTTTAATAGTGAACATCTGTGACATTCTTTGGAGAACTGAGATGACATAAAATGTAGACTTTACAGATTAAAAACAATGGCTACACAATTCTTTATTAGAAAAATAGGATGCTATATTGAAATTAAATGCCCAGATATAACCAATTCCTCACTTTTATTGCAATGGTAAAGACATACTTCTGCAGCCTTGGGTCTGCTATCCTGATAAATGCTGTCTGTACCCACCCATTCATTCCACTATAGCCTAAATACAGCAGAACACTGGAAGGTCCTATTGCATCTTAGACCTGCTTAGCCGATATCCTGACATGCCCAACTGTTTCAGGCATATGGCCCAGGCTTCTCCCAACCTGTGCAGACCCATATGAGGTGTCTAAGGAAGTCTATTTAGGGTAGATTTATCCAAGCGGCTTGCTTCTGTTCCCCTTAGATAAAAGTCTATTATGGAAGTTTCTTAACAGGGCATAAACATGCATTCGTACCAGGTTTGTTTCTGTGTATGTACACCATGAATGAATTGCATCTTCTCATTGCTGTCTTGTCTATATATGGCAGAAAAAAGGGGTAGCTGCTCTTCTAAAGTTGCGATGTAGAATGTAATAATTTAGTAGAATTTGCCATTCAAACAGAAGTGAAGCCAAACCTTTTTTTTTGCCCTTGCCTCTCTTTTGATACATTAGTAAGTGTACTCCTGTGGCTTAAAGTGAGCATAAAGGGACTAATGCCCGCTATATGTTGACAGCTCAGATCTGTGCTGCAACTGGGAAGGATCCCCGCATTATTGTTGGGGTCCACTCGGCTGCCTGATTGACAGCTGGCTCTGCTGTGCCCGCCCCTTCTTGTCTGCCCCTCTAGTGAGCGCTGAAGGAACAGAGAGGGGAGGGGGGAATCCCTATAGAAAGCAGTGACTGACTTTGCAGGGAGCAGACCGATTTATAGAGTCAGTGTGACCGCTGCAGCATCCCACGCTGGTGCTGGGTATTGTGAAGAGTGTATTTTAAACATTTAAACATTTTTTTTTTTTTTTACAACACATTCTGTTTAAAAATGTATTGATCCAAAAACGATTGAAAAACTGCATCTACATTAGACAGTGAGAAGTGCTACTAACACTACTTATGAAATCAGACAGCTAGATGCAAGAGAGAGGATTGCAGCATTTCTTAAAAAAACATTGAGAAAGGAATGTAAAGTTGTATTTTATTTCTAATTTTGTTGAAATCCACCAACATTCTTAGCAGTTATTGTCATTAGCCTACTTTGGTCCTAGCTGTATTAAGACTCCTTATACTTGTAAGAAAAGCCTGCATTTCTCTATTTAATAGGGTTGATTTACTTAAAAAAAAAAACAAATGTTCGAGGCGTGGCCAAGCTGGGCATGTGGGCAGACGAAGCTCCTGCCACTGATCCTAAATATTATACTTTCCTCCTGGCTTTTTCTGAGCGCTGACCCATGGTCATTGCTGACTGCAATCTACTGACCTCAATTATACTAGTTCAACACCATGACTAGCCGCAACAAAGAGGATTCCAGATTTTCTAACAAAAAAAGATGGCGCCTTGGCTGGAACAGGTCACTTTCCACCTAAACAGCTTGAGGTGGGCCAAAGATGCTGTCACAAACCTGGAGTGGTTTGCCAGGACCCTTCCTAAGGATTTACCTTGAAACGACTCCACCACTGCTGTTGCGCATTGTTCCGACACACTGCAATAAGGAGGGCCTGAAGAGGGATGTCGCATCAGTAATGCCTGTGGTGATTTCAGCGCCGCTACACAGGCCTGTTTTACTTGATAAACACCCAGGTTTCCCCATCTTCATCAAAATCCTCTAATTTTGATGACAAGCCGACACTTAAGAGGTCCAGCTTGCTGTACATAAAGATGGGGCATCCTTGGAAAAATTAAAAGATCATATGGGTGGGGAAACTTATCCCAGCCAAGCTGCGTTCACTTCGAATTCCCAATAAAATGCTGGAACCCATATTGAATTCCCTTAAACATGTTGGGATGAATGAAGAGAACGCAGCTCGACTGGGATAAGTAAACTTTCTGTTACTTTAGTAAATGAATGCCCATCACTGAAAATGTAAATGTTCAGTACACAATTACATGTTGGCATGTATCTAAGTGTTTGTAAATGCATTCAGAGTTACTATGCAAAATGTTTTAGGAGCTCAGCAGACCTATAGAGATAAGAATATTAGGTTTCCTACACATGGCTGACTTCTTGCCCAGTAATTCCACAGAACACAACAAACTGCTACGAAGTCTCTTTAGCCCAAAACAGCAGCACAGAACAATTATCTACGCAATACAATTCATTACAATGTCTGATATCTCAGTTTCTGTACTTACAGCTTCTGCATCTACGAAGGGTTACGTTTGCTGGCACTAGGCTTTCTTTTGTAGCACACTACAAAGGGGCACTGAGAGATTACTTGTTTCTAAACTTCAACTACATATTTTGAGACCCGACCACTATGCAACAAAATGCTTAGCACTTCACTTAAAGCCAGTGACACTAACAATTCCTAGAGAAAAGGCATCGCCTAGAATTAACAAACACTGGTTTACAAAAAGGACTGGCCTTGCTACCAACACAGAATGGGCATACCTGAAGATACACGTATGCAATCAGCCAGATGTCTATACGTTCATACACTGTTTAGGCATGAAATACAAATAAATATTAAATAAGGGCAAAAATGTGCCAACAATGGCATAAAAAACAGCTAAAAAGGCTAATCCGTGTTTAACATGTTTACAGAGCTTTTAAGCACTTAAAAACTTGAGCAAGTATGTTGATTAAAATATGCCACACATTTTGAAAACTGCTCTTATGTTTATTCTGCAAAAAACGATAAACGGACAGCCAAATGAAGCTAGACATAAATTAATTTTTTCCTATTAATAGCTTCAGCGGACGGATTATGTGTATATTGTTCCTATGAGACAGAAATGTACACGGTGGGCCGCCATATCGAAGAATAGACATTGAAATGTGAGCCTATAAATATTGTGTTTTATTTTGAAGTGTACTTCGAAGTTGTTTTAGTCACTGTTAAGAATACATAAACACTAAAGAATGCGAAGAGAAAATCATTTTATAAATACTGAAAAGAAAAACGGCCTCATTGTCTTATGTACAGATGTGTTACTGTTCATACATTCCCTCTGTTTGGGGACCTGTACTCTGAATGACATTTACACAGCACTCAAATTTATGAAGAGAGTGAATGTTCCATTCGATGGTTACAAACCTCAAAATAACAAGTTTCAAAAGAATTCAACTCTGTTTTAGTAATGGCAGAGTAGCATGCCACAAATGAGATGCTCATAAAGCAAAAGCATTGATGATCTGCTCTGTTCCCTCTGGTGGAGTGGGCTGTGTTGTGCTAAGGTCCCTCTGTCCTTTCTTGTCTTTACTTTGATGCTCCTGCAGAGAAAGAATAAGATTCCGGATTTCTTCGCGCTTCCTCTTCATTCTTTGTTGAGGAAACCAGTCGGTCAAATTCATTGGCAGATCAAAACTTTGAATGGGATTCTGGAAAAGTGTGATGCAGAAACGGATTATAAAACAAAATGATTAAGTGTGCAATTCATTCAGGTTGGTGTTATACAACATAATAAAAATGTAATATAGAAAGAATTAGTGTGGTACAGTTAGATCACAGACCTGCAACTTTATTTTGAAGTAGTCTCCTTTAGCAACATTTACAGCTCAGATAGCGATTTAAAAAGAAATACAATTAAAATCCATGCCATCTCTACTGTATAATAGATAAAACCTTGTTTGCTGAAGTTAAAAATGGGCTTAAATATGTCAACTGGGGAAAGAAAAACCATGATGGTTGATCAATCAGGCACTAAAGAAATGATAGGAATGCAAAGAGGTGATTGCCCAGCACAGGCCAGAATACAGTAATACTAAAAATTGGAGTATTTGTACTTAATATAAAATCCATTTCATAGAGTTCATTGATGGAAACAGTTAATTAATTGACTCAACTATCCTACAGAAGAATGGGACACTGGCAAAACATAAAACTTGTGAGCCAGCCGGTATAACACCTTCTACTCCCAGTATTCAGTTTAGTAGGAAAGTAGTACCAAGAACATGAGCAAAAACAAAGGGGCAGGACCTGTTTCCTTTGATGAACTCCAACATAAGATTTTACAGTACGTACAAAACTCCCATCTTCTTTGTCGAACATTGATGGACACAGGAATTCATTGACTGACGTGACTTCCAAAAGCAGTCCAACTTTGGGGTGGTCAACAGCAACAAAAGACTAACAGGTCCATGCAAAAAACATAACTGAGCGCTGCCTGCAGCTCAAAGAGCCACTGAAGGACCTCAAGCTGGCATCATAGGCAGTCTGAACATTCACCTGGTAACATTTAGAGAACTTGTTAACAGAAGACAAGATGGCAGCCTTACAATTATGGCAAACGGAAGCTTAATGCTGATGCACTCAAGAAGGACTTAGTGATTTAGTAAGTGTCTTAACTAGAAAGGGGGGAACCTGATCTTTATGACTATTACATCAAGCATAATTTCTCCGAACAGCAAAGACTGAAATGAAAATCCGTGCGTCAGTTGCCAACAAGAGCAGCAGCATGAAGGTGTTGCCTGAATGCTGACTCATGGGAAAAAAGCATGCAGATTACATAAATGCCAAGTGCACAAAGCACACATTCCAAGCAAACCTGGCAATTGTTTAGTCCAGTGGTGTCCAGGTATGGCCTGCAAAGCTGTTGCTGAGATACAGAAATCCAGATAGCTGCTATGCAAAGACTAGCTCAAGCAGAGGGTGAAAGAATCTTGATTAAAGAAAAAAAAAAACTGGCTAGCAAAAGGGTAGGACTTTCTCTGCACTGCTGATCCTCCTTAACACTGGCTAAGCACTGAGACATGCTGGGAGTAGGAGGAGTTATAACAGGCTGACCCACAAGTTTCTTTGTTTTCCAGTGTCCAATCCTCCAGTAGACAGCAGTATATACCATCAGTCAATTAATTCCTGTGTCTCTCGATGAGGCAGAAAAAAATAATAATTGAGTGACAAGATATTAAAGCCAGATTATTATAATTAAACAAGTATGCCACTGTGGATTCACCGTGTGTTCATGATTCAGCAGTTTATCCTTATACAGCTACCAAACAAGATCACTGTACCCACTGTGGATTCACCCTGAGTACATGATTCAGCAGTTTATCCATATACAGCTACCAAACAAGATCTGCCCATATATTTGACAGAAGTACTGAACATTTGCAACAAGTAGAAAGCATAGCATTAAATAAACAGCATTGCGTTGGTGAGGTCCTGAACTCAGAACTGACATGAGTCACTAGCAGTACAAATTCTGTATGTTCTACCATATTCCAGCCATCTATGACAAGCATATTATATGGTCTTTATATATAAATTATAAAAAAAGCCATACTGATACACTCACCTCAAAAAAGCTCTCCACGTATTGGAGTATATATACACCACAGTCGCTGAAATTGTTTTGCTGAGGAACTCTGGGATTGGAGCCTTTCATAACCTCTTTGGAAAAACTTCTTTTAGTTCCTTTCCTAACTTCCCATTCTACTTCTAGGTATCTAAGTAAAAATGTAAAAACACATTCAAAGAAAGAAAGATACCAGAAAGCTAAAGAGAAGAAATAAATGTATAGAACTTACTCTCGTAATGTTTTTACTACTGTAGATCGAGAAGGACCTCTCAGTGAATCCATAAGGAGAATACATGGTCTGAAAGGAAGCATATTCATTATGAACAATTCAAATTAAACAGAAAAACATCCTTAGTAACAAACTTGCTATCACAGTAAACTGTAGGATGAAAGGTGTCCAATTCAGAACTCTTAATGGTTTGACTTCTGACATCAATATACACTATATTGCCAAAAGTACTGGGACGCCTGCCTTTACACGCACATGAAATTTAATGGCATCCCAGTCTTAGTCCGCAGGGTTCAATATTGAGTTGGCCCACCCTTTGCAGCAATAAAAGCTTCCACTCTTCTGGGAAGGCGTCCACAAGGTTTAGGAGTGTGTCTATGGGAATGTTTGACCATTCTTCCAGAAGCGCATTTGTGAGGTCAGGTACTGATGTTGGACGAGAAGGCCTGGCTCGCAGTCTGCTCTTATCCATCCCAAAGGTGTTCTATCGGGTTGAGGTCAGGACTCTGCAGGCCAGTCAAGTTCCTCCACCCCAAAGTCGCTTATCCATGTCCAGTGCGCAGTCATGTTGGAACAGGAATGGGCCATCCCCAAACTGTTGCCACAACGTTGGGTAGCATGAATTTGTCCAAAATGTCTTGGTATGCTGATGCCTTAAGAGTTCCCTTCACTGGAACTAAGGGGCCAAGCACAACCCCTGAAAAACAACCCCACACCATCATCCCCCTCCAACAAAATTTACACTTGGCACAATGCAGTCAGGCAAGTACCGTCCTCTTGACAACCGCCAAACCCAGACACGTCCATCGGATTGCCAGACAGAGAAGCGTGATTCGTCACTCCAGAGAACACATCTCCACTTCTCTACAGTCCAGTGGCGGCGTGCTTTACACCACTGCACCCGACGCTTTGCATTGCACTTGGTGATGTAAGGCTTGGGTGCAGCTGCTCAGCCATGGATTCCATGAAGCTCTCTACGCACTGTTGTTGTGCCAATCTGAAGGCCACACAAAGTTTGGAGGTCTGTAGCCATTGACTCTGCAGACAGTTGGCGACGTCTGTGCACTGTGCGCTTCAGCATGTGCCGACCCTGCGCTGTCATTTTACGTGGCCTAACACTTCATGGCTGAGTTGCTGTTGTTCCCAGTTGCTTCCACTTTGTTATAATACCACTCACAGTTGACTGTGGAATATTTAGTAGCAAGGAAATTTCACAGAACACCTGAATCCAATGATTTGGAGGGATGTCCCAATACTTTTGGCAATATAGTGTATCTGATGTATGTGAAATGTTGTTTTTGAACTGGATCTTATGGAGCAGTGTACATGTTGCTTTATGTTCCTCCATCTAAAATAATACAATTCAAAGTTTAAAACAAGCATGCTCTCCTTTTCCCTACTGCTCCTTCTCCCCTCTGTTTTAATAGATATTCAATTTTATCTAAATATTCACATTTCATCTACTCCTGCCATAATTACAAATATTCAAAATCAATGTCAAGGACAAGTGAGCATGATTATTTTTTTTTTACTGAATTAAATATTTTTGTCATGATTTAATGTCATCCCAGGTCAAAATCAACATTGGACACTGAATTACATTTTTTAGAATAAAGGAAGGACACATCCTAGTGCCACCTCACCGATTTCCAATGGAAAAAGAATACAGCCTCTAAGCAAATAGACCAGAGAAAAATATTTACAGGTACACGTTTCCACCTGGTTTCTTACATTCAACTTTCCTGCCCCTTAACTATTAATAAACACCAGCTGACAACACCAAGCTTTTCAACATGACAGCTGCAATACCCTATGGAACTGTATCCCCTCTAGGGAAATATAGCAAAACACTTGTTGTGGAAGAGTTCCAGCAAAGGGGACGGAAAAACGTACGAAAACAGATTATCCATCACATATGTTTTTCAACATGTTACAAAATAATCAGAGTTACAATATGCACAGGATGTGAAAACTGTACGCTTGATCTATGACCTTCTCTACAGGGCAACACCACTAATTACAGCATGTCTTTATTCTATATAATAGGAGATAGCTAATTTCCACTTGTTCCTGTACACATTTAGCTTTACGTCAGGGCACAGTTTTACACTTACCTCATGAGAGGCTCTACTCTACAGCTTCCATTCTCATCCCCAATATTGCACTCCCCTGTTTTTCAATGCACACAGCTTCTTTTTTTTTCTTTCCCAGGCATCAAACTCCTGCTTCCTTCCTCTCCTAGACACCAATCCCCTCCCAACACACTGCATTCCTCCTCTTCCAGACATCAATATCTTTTACTCTGCTCTCTCAAAGGCTGCCTCCCGCCACTCCGACACCAATGTTCTCATTTTCCCCACACACTACTTACCTCCTCTCCTTTACAAAATCTGCTCCTCCACACAAACCACTTTCCTCTTCTCCCAGAAACCAAGCTTCTCAATTCCCCCACACACTACTTTCCTCCCCCTGCCAGACACCATTCTTCTCCACATATAATGCTTTCCTCCTTTTACAGACTCCAAGTTCCTCCTCTTCCCCACAATCTGCTTCCTTCCTCTCCTAGACACAAATCTAACAGGCTCCCTAACCCATTTATTTCCTTCCCTCCCAGATATCAACATTCATAAGATCAGCTACTCAGCTTGGGTGGACCGCTTTTCACTTACAAGGCCTCTCATTTAAGTAGAGGTTCCAGTAGCATGTGAAAAGTACAATAGAGAATACAATAAATAAAATACGGCATTGCCCAGAGACTAACTATAGTCAGAATATTTGTAAAAAAAAAAACTTAACTTAACTTAAATTAAAACAGGAATTAGACATCACTTCTTATTAGCTTTTGTGAGCAGGAAAATAGCATAATTTCTGTGATGTGTAACACAAAAAATAAATCATTAATACTTCTCTTTTATTTATGCCAGCAGAGACTAAAAAATTGTTAAAAAGGAGTTATAAACCAAAAAACATAATAGATAAACTACATTCATGGTTTAGATCATTGTACCAAAAGGCTGCAAAGGTCAACAGACATCTCCCCACTCGATAAATCAGGAGCACCCGCTCTATTGTAGGTTTGGGGTCCAAGGCTTACATTTGAACTATGAGCCTGATATGGTTAAGGAGGTTGAAGCCTAGATGTCCTTAAACAGATTTTGCGAGAGGTGCCTTACTCTTATGCTTGCCCGGCATTAGAGCGTTTTTTCTATCTGTAACCCTATTGATGAAAAAATCCAGGTCATCGTCAAACAGACACTCCAGTGAAGAGTATACTCTCCAGGTGTCTTTTGCACGCGGGCTCAACCGACCAATACTTAAGCATCTGAACCGTAAGAAGTCCAAGCCTCGAAAGCTGACGCAAAGTGTCAGCCATACAGAAGCGTAGTGCACCCAGTAACAGCTACAGAGGTCTCAGAAGTTGCAGGTCCACCAGAATGGAGCCAAGATCCCACAGTCACTGACAAACCTCCATCCAAGCTACTGCCAGCTGTAAAATAGGGTCAAGCAGGTTGAAATAAGTCTTAAATAGCCTTTCAAGGCACTTGTTCACCTGGTCTTTGAAGGCTGGGACGTGTTCCACCAGAACGTTAAGGGATTTGTTAGGGCAAGCAACTGCAGCATCAACTCTTGGTATCCCCATCATTCCTCCAAGGGACATTGTTCCCTAACGTGTTTTGGAGGAGCAGACACACACTTTCAGGATACTGCCAATTTGAGAAAAGTGCATCCTCCACTAAAAAGTGTGTGGGAAAGGTTTTAGGAGGTCTTCAGGGAGTGTATTGACACTGGTAGCCATAGCGGCTGTACACAGCCAGAAAAAAAAATAATAAGAAGCGTAGGGGAAATGGTAACTAAACTACCTCATGTTTGCTTCAGAAGAGAGAAGACATCCATCACCTAAGGACACAAAAAAATACTGAGGATTTCCTGGAGAGCGAGGGGTTATATGAAGGTCCTTCAGCACTGGCCTATTTCCATCACCTGATACTTGCCTAATAGCAGTTCGTCTCTGAATCTGTGTCCTGTACTTTTTGATCATGAAACAAATAAAACTAATAATGCTACCATGCAGAGGAAGTTATCTGAGAGATGTGCATTATCAAGAGTCCCTGGTAAATCATTTATCTTAACTCTTGTCTTCAATTACCTTAACATATAAAGTTTGCATATAAAACAGGTACACTCAGTGTAAAACACTTACTGCTTGCAAATTGTAGGTTTTAGATGCCACTTTCCTGCCTCTGAAGTGAAATTGTCATCAGCAAGGCCACCATCATCACTGCTTTCATCCTACAAAAGAGAAATGATACTTACACTCCAAACCAATTGACTATACTATAAGAAATCTCATTAGACTTTCTAGGCAACAAAAAGTCATACAATGTCTACAAATAGCCACTGTTAACTAATAAAAAAAAACTGACACCAGCAATGTATGTGAATGGCCAACACACACACACAATAAGATCTTGTGAGGCTCAGGAATGTAAATACAGGAATTTTGGTGCATGGAATGGGAATTCAGAATTTAAAAATCATCCGTCTCTGAACATCGCCTTTGCAAAGGTACAAAAATTCTTCAGGTTGTACAGTTTTATAACACCTCCCTTTTTGCTGTAATTTGAAAAGTCACACACAAACTGTTTCCATTCAATTCTCTAATTAATTTGGACTGTATTTGAATGCATTTTTTTTTATTTAAACACACCTCACTTTTGAAACTTTTAATTTTGTTTTGGATAGAGTAAGGGAAAGCTTAAGGCCATGGTAAGGTTTATATTGCTGCCTGTGTCCCTGTTGGATAGATTTCCCTCATGTCCTGTGCCAGCAGTGATCAAAGTGCAGATCACAGTACAGGCGGTCCCCGAGTTACATACAAGATAGGGACTTTAGGTTTGTACTTAAGTTGAATTTGTATGCAAGTCGGAACCGGTACATTTTTAAGTGTAACTCCAGCCAAAAAAACATTTTTTTAGTTTTGGATAGCATAGGGAAGCCAGCCTGCTATTGGATATTTCAAATTGCAATAGCAGGCTAGCTATTGCATCTGCCCACTGCCTGCTGTCAATCAGCAGAGGACGGGCCTGAAGCATAAAGTTCTCTATCAGGTCCCCCCCCCATGCTGATTAACAGCAGACAGTGGGCGGGTGCAATAGCCAGCTTGCTATTGCATTTTACAATATCCAATAGCAGGCTGGGTATGGCTCCTAGCCTGCAATAAAGAGTAGGCAGGGGGGCAGGGCAGTGGAGCCGCGGTCGGACCAGGAGACCAGAGGATCGTCCGGACCGGGGAAGCCGACGAAACGGCTAAAGAGGAAGCCGGCACATCAGCGGAGGTACGTGGGGCATCGGCGGTATGCAGCGGTCTGTGTCCACGCTGCCGCCGCCAACACAGGCGCGGAGAGCAGCGGGGATTTGAAAAGGACACAGGCCACCGCAGCCACAGTTCTCCTAAATGTACCGGCAGCTGCCGGTACATTTAGGAGAACTGTGGACCCCTTTCGTAAGTACGGATTGTCCATAACCCGGGGACTGCCTGTACTTTACTGTGGTCTGTTTTTTGTTTTTATCCTTAGGGGCAGAATTAATTTTTTTATTTGACTAATTTTAAATTGGTGATTTAGTTATTTTCGGGTGGGTGGAAGTTAGTGGGAAATTTGGGAATTTAGTGTTAGTTTAGTTAGGGGTGAAAAGAAAAAAAAAGTTTTAAAAAGCAAAAAATTTTCAAGTTTACTGCCGAGGAGGCTTATACAATTTTAACAGCCAACTCAGAGGCGACAGACAGTGTCTCAGAAAGTGAAGCAGGGTGACTGCGCATATGTGACTGAGTTAGATCCAAGCACCAATTCCCCTGGCGCTGCCCAAGGCACAGAGGATTGGTTATCCCTCAGTGATTTTACCCAACATCCCTTTCTTTACTGCAACTCGAGGCATACGTGCTGATGTGTCCAGCTATGCCCAGTGGAGTTTCTGCAGATATTCCTGGGGGGTGCCTTTTTTTAGGGAAAGTCGTAACGCAAACCAATTTGTACGCTGAACAGTACCTTGCCCAGAACCCTGCGTCCTTTATTGCTAGGAAAGCAACATGGTACCCCACCAGTGTCCTTGAATTAAAGCACTTTGGGGCACTCACAAAGTTAATGGAGATAATAAAGAAGCCAATTATTTGTTTATATTGGTATAAGAATCCTATCTGCTGTACCCCCATTTTTTCGCAAACCATGAAGAGACGCAGATATGAGACGCTACTGCGGTCTCTGTATTTCAATAATAATAGGAAGTGCCTGCAAAAAAGTAACCCACAGTATGATAAACTGTTAAAAAATGTGTCCCCTACTCACCCACTTTAATCAGACATTTGGAAACGTATATATTCCCAAAAAAGAACATGTGTATTGACGAGTGCCTAATGAAATACAAGGGTAGACTGGGAATCAAGCAGTTTATACCATCTAAAAGAGAATGATATAACATTAAGCTGTATAAACTGTGCAAAAGTGTTAGTGGGTATGTTTATTCCTTTCGCATATACGAGGGAAAGGACAGCCAGACATTATAGGGACAAGTGGGAAATTGTATGGGACCTTATAAACCCCTTATTAAACAAAGGGTATCATCTATACATATAATTATTATAATAGTATCCCCCTATTACAAATGCTCTACTGTTTTGAAACGCGCGGCCTGTGGCACAATAAGTAAAAAGGTGAACTGGTTTTCCAAAGGACCTAACAAAAAAAAAAGAAAAAAGAAAAAAAGGGGCGATTCAGCTGCTCTCTGCCAGAATGAACTGCTGGCAGTAAAGTACAAGGACAAGAAGGAGGTGTATACGCTGACCGCTATCCATGATCACCATAGTCACAGGGTAGCAGTCTGTGGCAGAGAGGAAACCAAGCGGGTGCCAATCTGCATCACACAATATAACAGGCACATGGGGGGAATGGACCTGTCTGATCAATTAATGAAGCCATACCTGATAAGAAAAACTCGGTCATGGTATAAAAAAAGTGGCCATTTACTTGATGCAGATGGCAACCCACAACGCCTTTATTATATAAAAAAGGCAAATGCTTAAGTGAAATGCATGTTTTTGACATTTCCACTGCAGCTTATTTCAGGGCTGCTGACAAGAGTGCCACATTAGGGGGTCCTTCTGTAGACTTGGCAAGTAAAAAAATTGGGGCAGCACATTTCTGCTTCAGGGTTCCTCCAATCCCCCCCAAAAAAGCCCCACAGAAGAGATGAAGAGTCTGTTACCAGAGGGGCATATGGAAGGGGAACAAGCTTTTACTGCCCCTCTCAGCTAGGCCTTTGCATTGGTAACAGCTTTAAGGTTTACCACAACCAGGGCAATGAGAGCAGATTTTTTGACAATTTTAGCCATTCAAATTTTAGCTCTAAAATAAGACATAGACCCATTAAATCCATTTATGAAAACAATTCACACTTAAAAAGCTGAAATTGTGTGGTCTCTTATATGCAGGGCCTGAAAAATGTTAGGGTGTCACACCAGTCAGTCAAAAATGTCACCAGTCAGCATGACTGCACTGTAGCCTTGCAATTTATGTTAACATTTTTTAGGGACACAGAGATTTCTTTTTGTGGTATATAATCACCACTGGGGAGGTTTTTAGTTTTTACTGTATAATGAAAAAAGTACCGTCAGTTTAGAAAAAAATAAATCCCTACGTTATGTTAAAAAACATTTTACCCATATTTTTGGTAAAATAAAAAAGACGGGGTCACGTCGGGTAAATAGACCCCAAACATGTCAAGCCTTAAAATTACGCGCAAAATACTATCCCACCGAACATTGCCCATACGCGTCGCTTTAAACGCTTTTACTGCTCATCAGTTTAGTGTTATCAGTAATTAATGGCTCTAAAATTGCTCTCATTGCAACGTTTGCGGTGATATATAACATGTGCACAATAGTCGTTTTCACACGCAGGTGCACCCGACACATGTTTGTTTGTGTCTGTGTGTGGGGGGCGGGGGACTTAAAGAAGCATAAAAAAAACACTACATTTTTTTAATTACTTTTTCTTTTTTTTTACACTTAACTTTATTGCTATCACATGGGGGGGGCTAACAATCCCCCTATGCGATAGCCAATTTACATGACCCCTAATGTCACCTAGGGACCCCAGAGAAGCTGATGAAGCAGAGATCTGCTTCACCAGCTTCTCCCCAGCTTTGAATTAGGAAAATGACCACAGAATGTGGAAGTGATGTAATATACATCACTTCCTGCATTCGGGGACTGGAGAGGAGTTCAAAGGGAGATTGTGTACCGATCTCCCTTTGATCCCCTGTCACAGAGCAGCCGAACCGATCTCAGTATAGTTCTACTCAGAAGAGTTTGCAGAGCATCATTTTGTGGAGTTTATCACAATGGCACACATCAGATTTACAAAATAGCCGGCAAAAATAAATAATTTTCCCCACAAACTTTAACATAAACGGTGAAAAAATGGTCACATGTTAAGGTACAATATACACCAGTGTCTACTTTTGCAAATGGTAGGCCTTCATGGGTATGGTGTTTTGTATGAAGAACCATATATAAAAAAAGCTTGTTATATGTGTGTACGGTAAAAATAAGAGGACACACAATATTATTCCAAAATTTAGTAGAGATTGGCAGTTGAATGGCCATGTCAAAATACTCTTCGGAAAATAGCCTGTGAGGTCTACTTTATAGAAATATGTACTTTTGTGTGGCAATTTCGTTTTCTGTGATGGCTATTAAACTTTAAAAACAAACATACCAAATTCTATAATTGTTCCACATTGAAATTCTATTTGACTCCTTACATTTTGTGACCTGTAACTACCAAAAATAAAGTGAAATCCTAGACATAGGATGCACTCTGTAAATCAGGACAAATATATGAATTTATTTTAAATTACTTTTCTTAAGCTGTACCAAGTATGTACACATCATTATAGCCAAAACTATTTTTTTTAATAAAATAAGAAATTATACATGTATATGTCACATCAAATCAAAGCCCGTTTAAAAACAGTATATAATATGTGTTGGTGCAATAAATGAGAAAGATGGAAATTGCGGTTGAACACATGCATAGCAAAATTGGTTGCTTTGGTCCTCAACTGAAAGACAAGCATTGGTCCTTAAGGGGTTAAATCACAAAATGGCTTGTTTACAATGTTGCAGAACTGGCATCTTATTTCCACACGTTTTTTTTTTCTTTGCAGCAAAAGAAAGTTTTTTGAAACTTCACAGTCATTTCACATACCGGATTATCTTGGTCATCTGAAAAATCTATGAATTCCTCTTCATTCTTTTTTAAGTCATCTGGTGAATCACTATAGCTCATTTGTATTCTGTGCAGACCATCTGCGTGGGATAAAACACAATTTAAGTAGGTCATATGGACTGGATTTGGTGTAGTACATTGTGAATACTAGATGAAAGAGAAAGCACATTTGGACAATTCTCTTGCTGCAGTTCAATTTAACCTGTGGAGAATACGTGGCGACTTAAAATTCACTACACGGCACAAGGCCGAGGTGAGCTGGCTTCTTTGCGGCACAGCTATAATCTTGCTACATAACTTTTTGACAATCTCCATTTAGTAACCATACCATAGGTTAAAAACCAACAGAGAACATCTGCAAACAGCATGGCAGGGGTCTCCACTGCTGTAACAATCTATAAGACGAATTACTAGATGTTTGCACAACTGAGGCTGGCTACAGCTGCTGTAAGAATGCAAAGGAAGGAGAAACCTGTTGAATTTTTGCGTTCAGCCTGCAGGTTGAACGGAAAATATAAAACTGTGTATACGAGGCTCAAGCTCCCCACCAACATACATACAGCCAAGCTTTGAGATCTTTAACCATTTGTTAGGACAGATGGTGTTCAAATCTAGTTTACAACTAGTAATAAGATCTGCCAGCACAGAACAGGCAAGGTTAATTATCATTAACATACACCCCCCCCCCATTTGAATTTCAAAGGAAAATTGAGTGCAGAGAAAAATGTAACAAACAAAAGTAGGCTTTATCCCAATGTGGCTGCAAAAGAGGAAATGCACTTTAAGCAAGACTACCCCTGGAGATCTGGAAAGAGTAAGTGTTTCCCCAAAACATAAGCCATCAGCATCTAAGCATCTAGCACCATGTCGTAAATAAAAATGAACACGAAAATCATCTGGTCAATTTAGGGCTGCAGCTAACAATTATTTTCATAATCAATTAGTTGCCTGATTATTTTTTCAATCGATTGGTTGCATAAAAAACAAAGAAACTCTCTATCCCTCCCCCAACCAACTAATCGATAATGAGAATAGTTGCCAACTATTCTTATAATCAGTTATCGATTTTTTTTGATTAGTTGTTGCAGGTCAATGCAATCAATAAGCGAAGTTTTAACAGCAGCAATTGCCAGGTCCTTGCTTAGGGATTTAGTCTGGGAAAGGAGAGTGGAGGCGAGTGTTGGTAGAAGAGCACCGCCCACCAAGAAATAAATGTACAGAAAAACTGCTTCCAACCTCCCATCAATAGGGTCCTTTAAGGAAGGAGTGTCTTCCGTGAGGATGGTCAAAGCATTTTAAAGAAGACACACAGGTGGGTTGACTACATGTGAATAGGATCACGAGCTGGCAAAATCCTTTGCAAAGAGAAAGGAGGACCAGGACAGCTTGGGTGCAAGGAATTGTTTGTCTGGGTGTTTCCAACCTTGGGTAAAAAAGAATAACGGATAGAGCTAACGATTATTTTCAAAATCGATTATTGAGTTCGATTAATCGGATAAAAAATAAAATAAAATGCATTTTAAAAAATGGCTCCAGTGATGGGACTACTAGTTTGTATTGAGATTGTAGTCCATCACAGTAGCAAGCTTGGAGCGGTAGAAATAAATAAGAAAAAAAAGTGTGGTGTGCAATATAGTGAAATTAAAAGTGTAAAATTATATAGCAATGAATGCAGAATGGCACCAGCTATAGAGGACTACAAATCCCACCAATAGTACATTATACAGCACAATACAGAATACCACCAGCTACAGAGGAGTACAACAAATCCCAGCAATAATATATTATACAGCGAAATGCAGAATACCACCAGCTACAGAGGAGTACAACAAATTCGAGCAATAATATATTATACAGCGCAATGCAGAATACCACCAGCTATATAGGAATACAACAAATGCCAGCAATACATTATAGCTGGCAGTATTCTGCAATGCGCTGTATAATGTACTATTGCTGGGTTTTGTAGTCCTCTATAGCTAGTGGTATTCAGCATTGCACCACTGTATAATGTACTATTGGTGGGATTTGTTGTACTCCATAGCTGTTGGTATTCCGCATTGCACTGTATAATGGGGGGGGGGAGAGTGCAGGCTTACCTGAGCAGTCTTCCAGAAACCTGTGCCGATCGTGGATGTGGGAGGGCAGCGAGCGTGAGGCGGGGAGGAGGTGCGCCGTGTGGATGCGGGCGGGTCTGGCAGCGGCGAGAGTGAGGTGGGGAGGAGGCAAGGCGCGCAACGTGTGGAGCCATGAACAGGGCCAACTAACCAGAAGCCGATTAATCGATGATTGAAAAAGTTGACAACTTTTTCAATCATCGATTATAATCGATTATGTCGATTAGTTGTTGCAGCCCTAATAACGGATGAGGAGGAACAACTTGGTGAAACATTTGGATCTCAGGGAACTGAGCACAGACACTGTTAGAGAAATGTATGGCAGACTTCTTAAATATTAAAGTGAGGTGAACAGCTTCTATTAGAAAGAATATGGTTTACTTCTGTATAGCTGAAACAGCTGGCTGTAAATCAGCCAGTGGAATCTCCTCTAGGCAAGGGAGGCACTCAACAACGCATCCTGGAGAGGATCGCCAATAGAATTGGAAATACTAGGCAACTCTATGTCAGAATCCGCTGGGGAAGGATGGTGTTTTGAGACCCTGTGATCAGGGGGAATTACAAGTTGCATTGACCAAGACACAAGACCCTGCATACCAGAAGAAAACACTTTTGCTATGAGGAAGGAAGAGGAATGAGCACCTGAAAGAGATATGGCTGCCGGGGAGGTTATTCTGACTGAGATCCGCAAGAAGGGCAGAAAGCACAAACTTTCCTTGTACACAGGGGGTCCTGTATAGGTGGGTCATATTCAGTGCAAGTGGTACAGTAGAAAGGCATCATGGCACACTCACAAACTAGCATGTAAAACAACTTGTCTCACCACTAAGGACAATGACAGAGGTTTGGATACACGTCTTCTGCAAAGGATGTGTAAGCCGCACTGCCGCGCCAAGGCACCTCTTATAGTGCGGTCCTAACTCTAAACTATGAGAGTCTCCATCTTGGAGCACATGGGGCAGAAGATATCAAATTGGGTGCAGGCCTGTCAGGAGGACGCCCCACCTCCTTAAAAGGTACAGAAACACACAAGGGATCCCGCACATCCCATTGGCAGCTGAGAAACCCCATGCGTCGCTGCACCAAATCGGTAAAGCAAAACAAACGACAAACGCACTCAACAATTTGTTACCAGTTATACAGTAAGGTGCACACGAAATGGGCTTTGAACAGTGGTACAGTTACTGTATAACTGGTAACAAATTGTTGAGTGCGTTTGTCGTTTGTTTTGCTTTACCGATTTGGTGCAGCGACGCATGGGGTTTCTCAGCTGCCAATGGGATGTGCGGGATCCCTTGTGTGTTTCTGTACCTTTAAGGAGGTGGGGCGTCCTCCTGACAGGCCTGCACCCAATTTGATATCTTCTGCCCCATGTGCTCCAAGATGGAGACTCTCATAGTTTAGAGTTAGGACCGCACTATAAGAGGTGCCTTGGCGCGGCAGTGCGGCTTACACATCCTTTGCAGAAGACGTGTATCCAAACCTCTGTCATTGTCCTTAGTGGTGAGACAAGTTGTTTTACATGCTAGTTTGTGAGTGTGCCATGATGCCTTTCTACTGTACCACTGTTCAAAGCCCATTTCGTGTGCACCTTACTGTATAACTGGTAACAAATTGTTGAGTGCGTTTGTCGTTTGTTTTGCTATATTCAGTGCAAGGGGGCGAAGGCCCTTCAATTTAGTGTCAGAAATGTTCTCACAGTAAAAAGAACTGTTGCTTTTTCAGGAAACTGAGCTATCCAATAAAAACTCATGAACAAAAGGAGCTAGGAAAGTATTAGAGGGTACATGGATGTAAGAGTGCAGAAAGAATACTGTTTGTTGTGCAGTTGAGCATTAAAAACAAATCTTGTGGAGAGCATTCAAAAAGCTGTCTATTGCTACCATTGAGTGCCCTGCACTATGCCCAAAACTAATAATTAGGGATGCACCGATACTAGTATCGGTGCAGATACCAAGTATTTGGGCGAGTACTCTCTCACCCAAATGCTCCGATACCTTCCCCGAAACCGGAACTTTCCAGTGTGGCAGTTCCCCTATGGCAGTGCCATAGGGGAACATCAAGCCGGCTTCCTGGCCAATCAGGAAGCCGGGCAGCAAGTAATGACCCACCTCCCTGATTGGCTGGAAAGCCAGCTTCCCGGCAAATCAGCATCGAGCCGGACGATCTTCCAGCTCGATGCTTCCCGATTGGCTTGGAAGTCTGTTTCCTGGCCAATCACAACCAAGCCTGACAAACAACATGGAGCCGGCTTTCTGGGAAATAGGCAAGTACCGAAAACAAAATATCGGTACTCGATACCGAAAAAATGCTATCGGTGCATCCCTACTATTTACCTTAGAAGAAACTGTTGGAAAGGAAGGAGCTAGGTGCGCATGCACTAATTCCTTCAAAGTGCTGTGTCATCAAGGTCCCGACTGAAAGGAGAAGCAGCGGGAAATTTAAATGGCAGTTCGAGCAGAGACAGTGCCTGGCTGGTAGAATATAAACACAAGCACTGGTAAAAAATAAAAAGGAGGGTTCCCCCTGTCCAAAACAATACTTAGCTTGCTAAAGCCAGTAATGCTTACAGACAAGCACATCACTGTCCCCCTCACACAGTGCACGGCCAGCTACAACTGAGTGCCAACTACCACACACAGAAAAACTCAGGTACATTAAGAGGAAATAGTGTTTAACACAGCCACTTAGAGAAAATGAGTCTTTAACGATAAATAATAATCATACCTGAAAAATCAATTGTAAGCGACTGACACCTACTCTCTGCCTTGCCTCTAAACCTAAGGCCCCTTTCACATGGGTAGTTCGATCCGGTCCACCTGTCAGTTCTTCAGGCGGATTCGACCAAATGCCCAATATAAGTCTATGGGCAGCCGTCCAAACGGCCGTCCAGTTACCCTAGACTCCGGCCAGGTCTGGAAAAACAAATAGATCAGAAATCCGTTTACATCCAATTCCCCATAGACAGACATGGGGTTCGGTAATTGCAGTTTTTTCCTTCATTGCAAGATGGAGGAAAAAAACGAATGGACACTAATGTCACATCGGTGACATCCGCTCCACCCTGCTGTGATCAGGAGAGGATCTGTGCACGGATCCTCTCCTAATCAGTCCGTGTGAAAGGGGCCTAAATCCCAGGATAAACCAATCCACTACATCTAACCTTAAACGTGAACCAAACGCCAAATTATATAATCACAATGATAATTAATATGGTGCTAAATCTAAGCAAAGAACTCTGACACCAATATGCAAAGCTCCAATTTAGTGGATAAAAAAAGCGAAAAAATATTGGCACCCAATTCAAATTGTTCTGCATTTTTTTTGCACGGTCCTTCTCTACGGGATGCTGGCAGGGGACGGGCTTTTCTACTCAGGCAGTGGCTGCTTTCTAAAGAAGACCAACCATTAGGGTGGGTTCACACGTGTGTTAGGTCTGCACATGAAACAACATGCAACGCAAGACACGGCGATTTGCAACATGATCGGCAGATTGGCACTGTGTTGGGGGCCACACACAAGCCACTGTGTGTTTTGTGCCGTGGCTGGTGTAAATTGGCCCTAAGACTTTGCTTATGGTATAAGTAGAATGCAGTTAGCTGATTTAAACAGCGTTTAATTAAGCTTGAAAGCAGGCATGCTTTAGGCCTCATTCACACGAGAATAAGTCGGCACGTACAGCTCCGTGCTGCGTGCACGGCCATATCGGGCAGCTCCCGGGAAGGACAGGTGAAGTTGTTCTGCATTTAAAACAAATAGTACTTAAAACTTCTTGCTTTAGATAAAAATAAGTACTATTTGTTCTGCATTTAAAACAAATAGTACTTATTTTTAGCTAAAGCAAGAAGCCACAGCTGAGCAAATAGTAATAAAGCAAAATCACATGCTTTATATTAGAAATTGGAAGAAAATATTGAACTGCAACACTCATACAATATTGCACCTAGGTGTTTTATGAATAAACATTGACTCTGGAAAGCCGATACATTGACCCTCCATGTGCCTAAACATAAATTTGGTTTATTTCCAGAACAACGCAGGGTTTAAATAAAGCAAAATATGATAGGTGCCTAAAAGATCATGCTCTGGACTAACACCTTTCATTCCTACCACCTCCCTCTTGGCCACCAAATGTGATGGGTGGCCTCACTAGTTTGTGAATAGGAAGGCATGCGTGTGTGCCTCAAGAGAGCACTCCAGGGTGCAATCATTTGAGCCCTGGTTGCAATTTGTATAACACAGTGCCATGCCTTCGGAGGCTCTGGAAATGAATGGGTTAAGTGTAGGTGCATGTAACTGCTTGCTATCAAGACTCGAGGCCAGAGGTTTACTTGTAATGAGCAAAATAACAGTAACATGCTAAGCACAGTGTCATTTTCAGGCCTAAAATGTGGAATATAACATGGGTGCAAAAATTGAAAAAAGGGCCTCAGTCATGAAGGGGTTAACTGATCATTCCTGATCTACTGGAAGCTTAGTGTTATAAGTGTTCATGGGCTTGCAATTTCCGTTTTTTTACTACGGGCGGACGGCAAGAGGTTAATTAGGATGTCCCGATACTAGTTTCGGTATCGGGGCAGATACAGGCCATTTTCACGAGTACTTGTACTCGTGAAAATGCCCACGATACATAGCGCCGATACCGGCGCTTTTAATAGCTTCACCTGCGTGTCAACTCACTGCGCCGTCTCCCAAAAGCCAGCCGGAGAGATTGGGATCAGATTCGAAGCCCTTCCAGGACCTCACAGTGCCGCCTCCCACAAGCTATTCACAGAGCTAGGACAATGAGTCAGAGCCCTGCCAGGACCACACAGTGCCACCTCCCACAAGCCAGCCAGAGAGATTTGCCTTGGGACTCCCTGCACAGCGCAGACACACGTGTTTATATGCGAGTGACAACGAATGAGTTACTTTACATTTTCCCTATTTACTTATTATGGGCCGGTCCGAACATTCTGCAGAGATTTTCCTCATATGTTGTGGCTCTGTGTATAATGATCACTCCATTTTTCCCCACACCTATGAATATTCTCGCCCATTCCTTATGGAGCAGGAATATTCTCGGGTGGGGGAAATCGAGTGACCATTACACACAGTGTGGTATTGGAGCACATGGTGTTTTGAATTTATGAAGATACAGACTGTTTGGAGATTGAGTAATAAACTGATTCAGATTCGGACTGAATTGTACTAACTGAAATTGTTCAGATTTTTTCAATGTTTTTTACTTTTAAGATGTTATTGTACACACATACACTGGTTGTACACTTGGTATTGCACCACATCATTTATATATTGAGTATACTTTATGGCAATATACTGTATATATTTCTTTGTAATAGGTTTACTTTTTTTTTTCAGAATTATAAAGTAACTGCCCTAAAATCATTATTCTGTATTGTTTTAGAAAAAAGTCACATGGCCCTTTAAGAAAAATATCGGTAATTGGTATCGGCATGTACCTGAGGGGCGGTACTTGTACTTAGTCTTAAAAAGTGGTATCGGAACATCCCTAGTTTTAATGTCCCGCTAAGAGATCACCACTACTGTTTCTAGGGCTGCACTTCCTCTAGGGTCATAACACAACTAGACGAGGATGTCCAATCACTTACGCTACAAGCTCTGTAATGTGAAATAAATGGACAATCAAGTGCAAATATTATGGTATCCTTATAGCAGACCTTAAAAAAAAAAAAAACAAAACATAGCGCAAGCAGGCCCAGCGCTACAGGGGGTCGGGGAGGGGGGAAGGAGGTGGCGCAAAAATGCACATTGCCTATGTAGGCAAGAATCCTAGCACCGGCACTGAAGAGCAGTTTTTTTTTAGGTGGGAAGAGTGCACACTGAGTACTCTGGAGTACTGTACTCCAAAAAACGCATTTTACTGCCAAGTCAAAAATCCTATTTTCTTTATTGTGCAGTACAGAACACAGGCAGATTCAGAGACTACTGGGACATACCCAAGCAATAGACAGGAGGGGTGAGCAAAAATGGGGTACGATCAAGAAATACCAACATGAGAAACCTGAGATGACCGAGTAGGAAGCTTCCCTTCTTAAGTCTTTTTCGAACAAACTTTCTGAAGGGAAGCGCACCACTCATAGTAAATATAGGGTTAGCTTTACTGTCTCAGAACTAGTATGTGGTCTAATAAACCATTCCAGTTTCCATTTGAGTATATTTACACAAACACACATGTACTTTGCATTGTGATATACTTACCAAGATGCTTTAATGGTGTTTTACATTCAAGTGTTATGCCATTTACGATTTTAGAATTTGAGTCCGTTTGTGGAAAGAGAGACTTAAGAGGCGCGGTCGCTTCCTGCTGTCCTTGATCATTTCTTCTAAGGGTGTGCCTTCCTACACAGTGGCTTCGTCTTGTCCCGGATGCATCACTTTCATCAGTCCCAGAGCTTGTGTCACTTGGAGTATGGTTTTGTTTCTTGTTAGGCATTTTCTTTGCAGTTGACTTGGCAGCAGAGCATTGCAGAAAAGCCTCTGAGTCACTAGAGATGGCAGAGGTTCTGCTGTCCTCTACCAGAGTCCCAGCATGGTAGTAAGGGTTTGGATAAGACTTGGATTCTTCAAAACCAGGAAAGCATATTACAGCTAAAAACCAGTGGGCACTAGAAAACAGAGAATTGTTACTAAAAGAGGTAGTTTGAAAGCTAATATTTATTGATTTTATAATAAAGAAAGAAAACCTAATACAAAACAATTCAAAATGAAACTAAAATGACCAAACTTAAAAGAGAACTATGGGGTAAGTGGTTTTCCCCATAGTTCTCTTAAGGGTCACGGGAGAACATATACTAGCATCCTCCCATGACCCAAAGCTCAGTATATCGCGAGCTACAGCTTGCGGTATACTGAGGCCGCCACAGCCATGATGGATCCTGTTTTCGCTCACTTCCGGATCTATTGAGCCGACGTGTGACAGTGTCATTGTCACGCGTCAGCTCGAACTAGGAGGATGAGTGATTTTCACAAACCTCATAGTTCTCCTTTAACTAATCCTGCCTCTATATGTGAGAAAACAAACAAGAGCAAGCACACACGTATACACCAGGTAGGTTCATAAGCAAATGGAGCAGTACCATAGAACAAAAGAGAAAATCGCACAGTATTAGATATTAGAGTGGTAGCTGGTTGAAAACAATTTGCACCCCCCCC